AATACTGTATGTGGGCCTGGCTGCAGAGGCCAACAGTCTGGGCCACTCTGCCCATCACGCTTCGGGGGGGATCTATTAGCACTACTTTAAGATGTGAGAGAGACTCAAGCCAGAAGAATATCTTGGCAGGAAGGGAGAGGGTGGAGGTGGGCAGGCCAGCTCAAACGGCCAGAAAGCAGCTACGTTGTGATGTGAGCAGATGAGGCAAGTCCAGTAGCTTCATAAAAGAAAGACTTAGTACTTTATAGAGGGGTGGGAAAGGCTTCCTACCAAACCCACGAGAAGCAACATCAAGAGCTGGAAGGAGGAGGGTAGGCGATGGAGAAAGAGGAGAGTGAAAGTGCTCTCCCTCTGTTCCTCCTCCCCCTGCAGGGAATTCCACGTTGCATCCTGGGAGTTCCCTGTCTGATATGAGTTATGTGCCCAGGGCTGAATGAGGCCAACAGCGTGTGACAGCTCTGGCCCTCTCTTCCCTCTCTTCCCAGCCCAACCCCTGCCCTGCGAAATCCAGTCCGCCCTTCCTTGCCCAGAGCGGGGCTTCTGGGGTAGCTGGCATAGTGCTGCCAGGCAGGGGCCAGAGAAGTCTTGATGGGGAGAGAGGATATGTCTTCCTGCCAGGAGCCCTTTGTGCTGCAATCCTTTGGGAGCTTAGCAGAAACTCTTGCAAGTTCTGTGTTGTTTTGAACTTTCTTATTGCCTTGCATCGAACATCAGCTAGGGCTGGGAAGAAGGATAGCACTCCCTCCTTGGCTGAGGCAGATGTTGTGTCTACCCTTGGAAGTAGGGCTTTCGCTCTTTTTATTTAGCTCCGAGGTGTGAGCACCGGAGAGTGTGACACTGGAGGGGCACACACGCATGCAGTGTGGGAGCAGGTGGCCGGCGGAGGGCTGCGGAGGGCAGACGAGGGAGCTTTCTTTCTCTGCTCCAGCTTTGGAGGTTGCAGAAAGGGCATAGAGCGGAGGGCCAGACAAAGGGAGACATGCTGCCTTTCTGAACCGAGAATGAGGTAGAGGCCATTCTTCCCGAAGTCCAGCATCCTCTTGCTATGACCCCGAGGAGACGGCTTTATCTCTAGGGGCTGGAAGTCCAGCAGACTGAGAGCACACCTCCGAGCTGTGGGTGTGGTAAGCTGGAGATGCTGACGTAAGGAAACTGCTCTGCCTCCTCAAGAAGTGGCATTTGGTTAAAGCCTGTGGTCCCTGTGCTGATTTTAAGCTCCTCCTCCCCTTCGGCCCCAATCCAAGGTGTTTACGGTAGGACCTGAAAGGCATTCTTCCTTTCTTTGGACTTGAAAGGTATTCCGATGTCTGTTCTCATATACCAAAGTGGGCTGCCTTCGAATCAACCCAGAGAAACCTCTCCCTTGCATTATCTGTGTGGGAGAAGATTCTGCTGTGTCTTTGGCAAGGTATCATAACTCAGACAGCTGGGAAGTCCCTTGTGATGTCTAACCGCACCCCACCCTTTCTGGGGCTGAGCTGGTTCTCATAAGGGGTGCCTCTGCCGACAGTCCTTGGCCTCCCAGGGAGGCGGGCAGCCGTGGCCCTTCCCTGCTGGAGCCAGGCCACTGAGGGCTGGGCTGCAGGCTCTCCTCCCAAGCGCTGGTTCCCTGCACAGGCTCTCAGCACACACAGATTTTCCACTGCTGCCTGCTCCATCTCCAGCCAGCCTGGGCAGGGGCCATGTAACTCCCCAGCATGGGGTGGGGATGATGACTTCACAGCCTGACATTCTTGTCGCCTCTCCCAGCTCATGTGTTCAGTCTGGTGCTTAGGGCCAAAAGTACTCCTGATTTGGGTGGGGCTTTCTCGCTCATGTTCTCGGGGACAAAGATTCCTCTCTCCTTTTTTTCAATGTATTTCTAAGGGAAATCCTTTTCCTGCGTTTCCAGCATTCTCTCCCTGCCAAGTGTTCCTTCCCCTCTCCGGGAAGCTGTGTGAGTATTTGCGAAGCAACTGCGGAGATCAGGGACTAATACCCTCTCCTTGGCTAGACGGGTATTTCTGTGGTATCACGGCTGCAGGGAGCAAGGCCTGAGAGCCTCTGGGGGCAGGAAGAATGGAATGGAAAGCCCAAAATTGGGGATTGGCTGAGCTCCCGGTCCCGCATGGCTTTCCCGTGCCCCCTAACCACAGGTCCAGAGAGGATTCCCAAGGCTACTAGGCTCACAGCCCCCACCAGCCCCTCCCTGCCCCAGGGCACGCTGGGAACTGGGACAGCCACTTGCCCGTCTTAAGGCAGCCACTGCAAGAGCTGAGGGTCGCTTAAGGTGGAGCAGACAGATGAGAGAAAATGGCAAAAGGGAAGTAAGTGTGTGACTCTGAGAGCATCAAGGCCGGAGCAAAACCTGATCTTTTTCGCTTTCCTTAATGGGTCTTATTTGGCTTGCTTGGGTCCGAAAAGGCCATCCTGGACCTTTTATTGAGCACCAGATCCATAGGCTGGACTCTGACGGGCCTGGTGTCACCACCTCTGAGGACAGGAAAAAGGCAGGACTAATTCAGCCCAGGTGTGAACAGTGGGAACAGGGCTGATGGGCTTTGAGGCACAGACAGAAGCAGCACGTGGGCTGCCCTGCCCTGAAGGAAGCAGGGTGACCGACCATCCTGTTGGCCTGGGACCCAGGGGGGTTACGGTTTCCGGGGGGGGGCGGGCAGGAGCCTCGGTGCCCAAACCCGGGAAGTCCCAGGTACACCGGAACCGGTTAGTCACCCTACAGTGAAGCCTCAGTGGAGTGCAGCCAATGCCACACCCCGACCCCCTCGGGTGTAGCCTGCTGTCCCGTTGCTTCCCGAGGAGTGGTGTGGCCTCGGCCGCAGACTAGCCAGGTGGTTACCTAACCTCTCCGGGCCTTAGTCTGCCCCGATGAAACGTGGGGTTCACGGTAGCTGCCACATAGGGTTTGGCGGTGTCTGAATGAGAAGACACGAGTGTTCCGGCTGAAGCATCTGGCACATAGTAATCGCTTAAATGTTAGCAACCTGATTTATTACTCATCCATTCAGTTCATTCACCACATTTGTATGCGTACAATGTGCCTGGCCCTGCTGTAGACCTAAGGAACAAAGACAAAAGTCCTGCCCTTGTGGAGGGCGATAGACAAACATCTTAAGTGAATACATCATATAATGTGTTAGGGAGAAGGCCTGTGGAGGGGACCAATGACACAGGGCAAGGGGATCGAGGGTCCTGGAGCAGAGAAGCCACATTATTAAATAGGATGGTCAGGGTTGGCCTCACTGAGAAGGTGATGTGTGTGCAGAGAGCCCAAGGACGTGGGAGAATAAGCCCGAGCCAGTGGGGAGCAAGCTGAGCCAAGGGAAGAGCTCGTGCAGGGCCCTGAAATAGAAGCTTACCTCACGCGTCCAGGGAATGACAGGAAGGCTCACTGGGCCGGAGCTCAGCGAACAAGGAGCAAACAGTAGGAGTTAAGGAGTGGGAGGGCGGGGGCTCTTAGGGGGCCTTACAGACCATCATAAAGGCTTTGGGGCCCAGTTTTACTCCCAGTAAAAGCCAGCAGAGGATTCTGAGTTGGTGCGTGGCAGGGGTGGGGTTTGAAAAAGATCATTCTGGCTACTGTGTTGGGAGGAGACTGGGCACAGGACAGCAAGGGTGGGAGCAAGGTTACCAGTTAGAGAACAGTCATCATCACCCGGGTGAGAGGGAATGCCCGCTCCAGCCAGCACGGTGGCAGTGGGAAGTGAGACGTGAGCGGACCTTGGGTATTCTTTGAAGATAAAGCGGCCAGGATATGCTGGCCGAATGGATAGAGTGAGGAGAGAGAGAGGGGAGGCCAGAGCAGTCACAGGTTATTAATCTGACACCAGGGAGGGCAGGATGACCTCAGATGGGGGCTTTTAGTCAGACCTTGTCATTGCTGCTCTTGTTTTGGCCTCCGTTGGGCTCTTGGGATGTCCCTTAAGATGATCTCTATTATCTGCTGTCTGCTTTGCCCTCATAGTCATCTACCCACCTTGTTGCGGGGGGCAGAGGGGGATGGCATCTCCTCGCTGCTTCCTCGAGAAACATCCCAGGGAGATGAACAAATGATCAGAACTCCTATTTCCCACAGGCCAACCTGGCCTCCAGGACAGCAACCCCAAACTGGCACAGCCTCGAGCTCTCAGGTCCTCGGGGAGAAGGACCCAGCCAGGACCCCCTGGCTCCTCTGCCTCTGCCCGCCCGGGGGTCAAGATGCCCTTTCCCAGGCCCTTGCTCTCCCTTCCCACTGGGAACCTGATTTCCCAGAGTGCTGGAGACAGAGTGCTGGAGCCTCTGGGAAGCAGCCCAGCTTGCTTCCAGTTCTTTGGCCAAACCCGCTCCCCCACAGAGCTTGGCTGTACCGCTCAGCCAGAGGCCAGGGTGGTGCGTGTGGGCACCAGGAGGCAGGAGGCCCTGGATAAGAACATCAGCCCCGCTCCCCTGCCTGGCGTCCTGTTCTCCCTCTTCGAAGCACTGGCCGGCCAAAGGGGTCTCCCTTCTTCGACTGTGTAAGTGTGGATGCAGGTTCACCCTTCCACACTTTCCCTCCACGCCGGGTCCTGCGTCTACCCTCCTAGACAGGTGAGGGTCTCGAGGACCTCCCCTGATGGTTTTGTTTTTTGGGTGGAGAAAGGGAGGCCGTCTCAGACCCTACAAGCAATACCCCCTTGGGGACCCATTTTCCCCATTTCCAAAGTCTTGTTCTGTCCAAATGTCTTCCTTAGGTCTGACCCAAATCTCTCCCTTTGCCATGTAAGGTACTACCCTCGGGTCCTGTTGAGTGGAGATGGAGAGTAGAGGTGTGCCCGCACGCCACGCCCCGGGCCCCTCCAGTGGAAGAGCCCCTCCCACGGACCCGGGTGTGAAGAAGTCCTCTGGCCCTAACTAGATCTCCTACTTGGGCAGAACAGGAAGCACGGGGGTCTTTATTTAAAGGTGTCTTTGGACCACCTTCTCCCATCATCATTTCTCCTCCTTGTTTTTCTTACCTGCTCCTCCCCCTCGTATCTCCTTTTCAGGTCTGTCTGGGAACCCTGCGGACCTGGAGAAACGTAAGCAAGTGTTTGGACAGAACTTCATCCCCCCCAAAAAGCCCAAGACCTTCTTAGAACTAGTGTGGGAAGCCCTTCAAGATGTCACACTCATCATCCTGGAGATCGCAGCCATCATCTCCCTCGTGCTGTCCTTCTACCGCCCCCCTGGGGAAGAAAATAAACGTGAGTGTCTAGGACAGCCCGGCGTGACTCTGACCCCCACCCAAAAGCACTAGTATTCGTGGGGGACAGGTTTGTATCTTAAAAGTTTACCCCACTCTCCAGGGTCGGTTCTCCAAAGAAAACCAACAAGTAGCTAGTCAGCCATTCTTCAGCCCATCCTGATTCCAGGGTCTTCTTCCCCTTCTCCCAGCAAATCCTTATGCAGGATATCAGATATCAGAAGTTCCCTACCCTCACCCAACCACCAAAACCTGCTTCTCAAAGTGCCCCCCATCAATTATCTGGCATTATGGGAAATAGCAGTGACCTAGAGCCCGGAGCAGGGGGCCTGGCCTTGTTGGGAATCATAAGTTCTATACATGTGACTGGCCAGTAATTTGCACTGACATGCTTTGTGCTACTTACTCATTAACTTCTTTTGGGCTAACGTAAATACTTATATTGGTGATGACACGATGCCCACCCCAGCTGTCCTCCAGTATCCTCAGAGGATAGCTCCTCCGCCCAAGGGTTGTATTTTCTATGATTCTCTTTCCCTGACTTTCCATCTTGGGGGGCTGTGGAAGCACTCCTCCCATTTTTAGTGTTCACCGATGCCCCCGGGTGACCCTTACGTTCTGTCCTTTCCCTGGGCTAGAGTGTGGTCTACCTGTAAGTAGCCCAGAAGACGAAGGAGAGGCGGAAGCCGGCTGGATTGAGGGGGCAGCCATCCTATTCTCCGTGATCATCGTGGTGCTGGTGACTGCCTTCAACGATTGGAGCAAGGAGAAGCAATTCCGGGGGCTGCAGAACCGCATTGAAAAGGAACAGAAGTTCTCCGTGATCCGAAATGGCCACATCATCCAGCTGCCCGTGGCTGAGATCGTGGTGGGTGACATCGCCCAAATCAAATACGGTGAGAGCTCGTGCTTCTTGTACCCACGTCGTCCTCCCTACCTGAGGGCTGGGTCCTTTGGCACAGGGGGCTGGGAATCACTGAGGACCCAGAAAGACCCCAAATGGCATTAGCTTCTAGGTTAGTTGAAAGAGGTTTGTTTTTTTTTAAAGATTTTATTTATTTATTTGAGAGGGAGAGAATGAGAGATAGAGAGCACGAGAGGGAAGAGGGTCAGAGGGAGAAGCAGACTCCCTGCCGAGCAGGGAGCCCGATGCGGGACTCGATCCCGGGACTCCAGGATCATGACCCGAGCCGAAGGCAGTCGCTTAACCAACTGAGCCACCCAGGCGCCCTGAAGGAGATTGTTAAGAAGGATTCAAAGAAAGAAGAAAGTCTCCCCAAAGAATGTCACACCTGTACCCTGTGTATCTCAGGGTTAAAAATTATGTATTTCAGGCGTTTAGGGATCATTGTTTGAATTTATAAGGAGTCTTGTCATCAGAGATGAAGGCGTCTTTCAGAGGTTCTCCAGGTACCCCCTGGGCCATTGCCCTATAGGTAGGGCCCGCGGGAGCCACCCTGAGATGCGGTTGGCTGGTTCCCACCCTCTGACAAGCTCTTCCCTGCCCCCTTCCCCTGTTGCCCCTTCCCCCCTTGCACACTAGGTGACCTGCTGCCTGCAGATGGGATCCTGATCCAGGGGAATGATCTCAAGATTGACGAGAGCTCTCTGACTGGGGAATCAGACCATGTCAAGAAGTCCCTGGAAAGAGACCCAATGCTGCTCTCAGGTATGGTGTCTGGCTGCTCCAGGCCTTGCCCTCTATTCTGGCCCTGCCCCATCTCCTTCTTCTGGGCTCTTTGAGGGCAGGAGCATATTAGTGGGCTGAGTACAAGGTTATCAGTCAACCGAAAAGAGGCTCTCTATGAAGCAAGTGCTGTAGGGGCCTTGACAGGCAGGGCTCTGCTGGTTAGCGGTGGGAGTGGGTAAAGGAGCTTTACCCTAAAGCGGTTAGACACATTTTTCTCCTTACCCCCCAATTTGTCTGTCTATTTTAAATGGGCCCAGCTCTTGACCTTTTCCTGCTATCTGCTGAGTATATCATTATCCATGGGGGAGGAAGGAAGAGGGACTGTTTTTTTCTAAGTTTGTGTTCCACACCAAAGCATGGCTAGGTATAAAAAACAGCACTCCTTCCATCTTTTCCTTTCTCATACAGGGACCCATGTCATGGAAGGTTCTGGCCGGATGGTAGTAACTGCCGTGGGTATCAACTCCCAGACTGGAATCATCTTTACCCTTTTGGGAGCCAGTGAGGGAGAAGAGGAGGAGAAGAAGAAAAAAGGTAAAGGGCATCTGGGATGAGATTGTGTCCCCTCCCATCCCCATGGACAGACTAGGAAGCAAGGGACCAGATCTGGATGGAATGCCTGGTGGGAAGAATCTGCTGGATGAAGAATGCAGATATCCAAACTTCTTGCAGAGAGAAAGATGTCGAGCCTGGCTCCCCAGGGTGCTCTGACGAAAACCAAATCAGGTCGCCTTTGAGCCTCGACTCCTGTGTCTGTTTGCGGGTTATAAAGGTGTGAGATGTAAAGCTTGCCCCAAATGAGCTGGCCAGGTGCTGTGGCCCCGGCAGGCCTCTGTGTAGTCCCCCAACGCTCAAACATGAGGGGGTAAGCAAACCATCCAGGCTGAGGGAAGACTGCTGAAAGCCTGGGCTGTCAGTGGAAGAGACATGGCTAGGGGAGTGGGAACACAGAGGTAATGTCTACCCCCAGAGTTAGCCCCGTCTTTGCCATTCGCTTGCTCCTAAAGGAAGCACAAACAAAGAAGGAAGGTGAACAAGAAAAAGATACTAAAGAGATCGACACCTTTCCCTCAGCATTCCTTCTTTCCTTGGAGAAGAGAAGGATTTCTGTCACTTGGCTGGAGGACCATCTCAGGCTGTTTCGTGGACGGCAGTTTATCAGGAAACAAAACCCATTCCCTTGGGAACTAGACTAGGTTTTTGCAGCTACCTGCAGATGAGTAAGGAGGGACCCGGCCACAGAGACACCTTTCAGAGCCTTTGCCTTCAGGCAGAACCGGTTCCAAGCTCTCACTTTCTAACCCCTACCCCACTTCTGCAAGTGATGGGACTCAGCCGGGAGCAGCCTCCCAGCAGCCGCTGTGCTCTGGGAGAGAGCAGCCCAGGTGTGGCTGTGCACTCACCTGCGGGAGAGGTCTGGTCCACATCCCGGGGAGTCCTGCGACCCCAAGTAAGCGCGGATGTGAGCAGAGACGTGAACTTCCTTTACATCCCCTTCCCTGCCACCCCACCCCTTTTTGCTGTGGCCCTTTTGGGCTCTGAGCAGGACCGACAGGTTGGATACCTGATCTCTTAATAGTCACCTTGGGTCTCCACCCCACTTTTTTCTTTCTTGTTCAAACAGGTAAAAAACAAGGAGTCCCTGAAAATCGCAACAAAGGTAACCTCTCCACCCACTCATTTACCATCTCTACCTGCCCACACTCAATCCAGACCTTTCCAGGCCATCTGCCTTCTCCCTTTTCCTCTCCATAATCTGTTATCTGCTGCTGGGGGCCCCCCAATGCCTCATCCTGAGGAAGGTGCAGAGATTTGGGGGTGGTCTCCAGGTCCCGAGCCCCATCTAAGATGGGACAACAGCACCCCCTGCTGTTGTCTCACGGACCCTCCCATCAAGGTTTCTCTGGGGGAGCGCGTGGGATTGATCTGCTCTTCCCTGGGGCGCTGAGCTCCCTGCTTCACCACCCTAGGCCAGATTTAAACACCCGCGGTCATCCATTTCTGGGCTAGAAGACTTCAGAGTCCCCACGGTGGAGGGAGTCGGGGTGGGCAGTCCCTGCACCCTCCTCTTGCTAGCTTCCTCATCGGTGTCCTCTTCTGGTCTGGAGTTCTTCTCTGCTAGTCTTCTTGGGGTGCTTGGACAGAGCCCGTTCTCCGTACCTCTCCCCACTTCCTTCTTTGTTCTCGCCGTCTGTCTTCTTCCTCCCGATCTGGTGTGTGTTTCTTTTTTGGTGGCTGTGTTTACATCCCGTCTCTGTCTTTTTTGTGAGTCTGACAACAGAGACAGTATCTCAGGAAGGGCATCCTAAGCAAAAGGGCCGAGCTCCACAGGGGTGAAGCCGGGGGTCGGGGGTGGGAACCGGCGAGAATGGCTCTCTTGAGACAGCTACTGGAGATTTTTTTTCCTTTGTACCCACGTCATAGTAGTCTTTAGGAGTAAAGTCATCACATCGGAGAAGCAGGGCTCCACAGAAATAATTCTTTAATTTCAGGTCTCTTTAACGCTTCTTTGGAAAGCAAAATGGATTTATATGTCTGTCTTTATCCCTCTTTATTCCAGAGGGTCCCTCCTACCAGTTTCTTCCCTCTCCCCCAAAAGACTTAACCCTCCCCACTCTGTACCTCCCCACCTTCGTCAGGGGAGAAAAGGCATTTCCTTCCCCAGTTATTCAACTGACATAAGAAGGAGCTGGAAAATACCCTGTTTGGGGCTCTGTGTTTCTTCCCTGACAGTCTATAGGGAGAAAGAGATGAACCTTTTAACAGAGCAGACTAGGACCCTCAGGCTCTGAAAACATCTACCAGCCTTCCCCATCAGTCAGCCCCTTTCTGCACTAAAGATTCACTATTTTAAGCACTGAATTCCAGGAAGGATGGTTGTTGGTAATAGCACTTAGTGGCATGACTAATCCTCTTGCTGGAATAAACCTGGCTTGGGGCTCTGAGGTGGTGCCAGGAAGCTGCCACTGAAGAGGAAATCCATACCCTATAAGCACTCCCGTTTCATCTCCCGTTGTCAGAATATCATTCTAAAGGCCCGAGCAGAGGGTGGAAGGCATGTTCCTTGCCTGGCATGGGGTGAGAGTGGGCCAGAGCTGACGCTGGGGGTCCAAGGTGGATTCCAGGAAGGAGACAGAGGAGTTTTGGTTCCCACATGCTTGCTCCTCGGCGCTGCCACCTCGCGCACTCACCTGTCTTATTTGTGTGCACACCCTAGCAAAGACTCAGGATGGAGTGGCCCTGGAAATCCAGCCACTCAACAGCCAGGAGGGGATCGACAATGAGGAAAAGGAGAAAAAGGCAGCCAAGCTGCCCAAAAAGGAGAAGTCGGTGCTGCAGGGCAAGCTGACGCGCTTGGCTGTTCAGATCGGGAAAGCCGGTGAGTAGGGCAGCGCCTCCTTGGTATTGGGGCTACTCTGGATCCTCGCCACTTTGGCTGTCTTCCTTCTGTCCCAGCCAGGCCGGCAGAAAGAAGCCGAACCTTCCCAGGGGCTCATGCAGCCGAGGTGGCTGTGCCCCTCTCTCTGCCCGCCTCTGGCCACTCCCTGGGCCTTTTCAGAGAGAAGTGTGCTCCTGTGTGCGAGGGTTAAAGACCCCACGCTTGGTCTCTTCCTTCCCAACAGAAGGGAAATAAAGGACTTCTGTCACACAGGGGAGATTTACGTTAGCAAAAGGAGGACATGGACAACCAGTCACCTGTTTCATGTGTTGGCTAGTAAATTCCTTCAGGAAGAGAGCCCCTAGCACAGGACTAGCACCTGGCCTGGCAGAGCACGATAAATGCAAAAGAAGGACTAGAAGACACGGGAAGACCGTGATTTAGAGGGGCTCTTTCCAGAGGAGGGGTCACTCTTGTGTATCATGAGAGGAAGTGACTTCTCTAGCCCCTGCCTCTACATTCTCTCTCCACCTTCTGGCGGGGCAGGGCGGGGGGTTTGGAGGAAGAAACTGAAGGAAGATTGCCTCTTCCGTGGACACACCTCTCAAGGGACCACCTTGTACCACTGTTTCATTTGCTCCTGACCCCGCCCTTCTGTGGATCACAATCCGTCTAGTCCGGTACATTCTGCGGGGACAGTTCACCTGGGATCTTGTTAAAGTGCAGATTCTGATTCAGGAGGTCCGGGGGTGGGGCCCGAGATTCTGCATTTCTAACAAGCCCCCAGGTGGTGCCAATGCCACTGATCCGCTAACCACACGTTGAGTGGCAAGAATCTATGCAGGGCACTACCGTAGCCACTAACCACGCTGTTTCCCCTTAAATGAATTAACGATTAAGTACGAGTAAACATTCAGTTCCTCCATCACATCAGCCTTGTTTCAGTTGGTCAATAACCACACGTAGCTAGCGGCTACCTTACTGGACAGTGCAAACGGGGGATGTTTGAAGCATCACGGAGAGTTCAATTGGACAGCATTCGTCCAGCATATTCATTCAGTTCTGGTCCCCAACTGATGGTGACCACCGTGAAATCTCTTGCATATCAAGTGTACATGGGGGACATGAATTGCAGGTGTGGAGTCAAGTTACTGAGCCTGGCACACGGGTGTGAAACATTAAACAGACCCCACCCAACCCCTCCTATGGTCCTCTGAACCCCTGCCTTGTTCTTTAGGGAGTATAGGCTTACCTGATGGCTGGCCTCTAGTCTCCTCTCTTGTTTCAGTTTATGTTTCAAGCTGGGCCAGTAGGAGGTGAGGCAAGTCTGGTGCTTTGTACCACCCTGGGAGGGAGTGCTTCCTTGAATTTTGGACCCTAGGCACCTTGTTTGCCTCACCTTAGTCCTGACCCTGCTGAAGCAAAATTCAGAAGAATATGCTTTTATTGATATAATCACCTCTAGCCTTGCTCTGATCCTCTTGCATCATTAGGCCCTCAGGAAAAGCAAAGACCCACACTTACTATGGTTGGAAGCAGAGCTCTTCCCAGATATTGAGCCACAGACCGGTACAGTGTGCCCAGATACTGATCCCCTCTGCCTTCAGGGTGGCCAGGCAGTCCCCAGGGTGGTTGGAGCCCCTAAGCCAGTTGCTTTCTGACCTCAAAAAAAATTCTTCCATTCACATCAGTGTGTCGGACGACCAACCTGTCCCAGCTTACCTGGGACTCTCTTGATTTTACCACTGAGAGTCTCACATCCCAGGAATCTGCTCAGTCTCAGGCAAGCCAGAATAGTTGGTCCCGCAACCAGTGCACCATTTACAAAAAACCCTCTGTGGGGAAGTGGGTGTAGGGTTGGGTGAAATAGGTGATGGGGATTAAAGATGACACTTACCATGATGAAAATAAATAAATAAATAAATAAATAAATAAGATTTAAAAATTTTTTTAAATCATAATTGTTTCTTGATCTTCTTTAAAAAAACTCTTTGTGCCTCAATTTCCTCATGAAAGGGGATGATGATACTATCTCACAGAGGTTTTGTGAGGATTAAATGAGTTAGTGTTTGTGAAATGCTTGCCTGGCCTATATAGTAAGCACTATAGAAATATTTGCTTATTATAAACATAAGTTATTGTCATATTCTGTCTATGCCATGTCAAGAGAAAGGTCAAGAAGCACTGTTCTAAAGGTTAGCCATATGGGTGACGGGCTAACACCATAGGGGCATCGCTGTAAACAAGTCGGGTGAATTACCCGACGTTCGTCAGCTGCTAAGGGAGAAGCCCAAATTGATAAATTCCTAGGAAATAGGCAAATACAGTCACTACATTATGAACTGTAGAAAGAGGGTAGGTCTGAGTTAGAATCATAAAGTGCTGTTTTAGAAAACTAAACCAATTCCTTATTTATGAGCGAGGAAGCAGGCCCAGAGAGAGACAACGCCTAGTCCGAAGCCACGAGTCGAGTCGGTGCCGTGCTGAAACTAGAACCTGTGTCTGTGGGGGACAAAACCAGCGTCTTCTCACCCACACGATAATGTGCACGCCGCCGAGAACAGATAGGGGATTTGGGTCTGACTCCCCAGAGATAGTGGATTTAAACCTTGGTAGCAAAGGCTCCCCCCATGCCAGCCCCCTTCTGGCTGGGGCGCCTGGGGACACCCCCGAGCCTGGGCTCTCGTGCCTTGTTTCCGGGACAGGCCTCATCATGTCTGCCATCACGGTTCTCATCCTGATCCTGTACTTTGTGATCGACAACTTCGTGATCCGCCGCAGACCGTGGCTATCAGAGTGCACTCCCATCTACATCCAGTACTTTGTCAAGTTCTTCATCATCGGCATCACCGTACTGGTGGTGGCCGTGCCAGAGGGGCTGCCACTGGCCGTCACCATCTCGCTGGCCTACTCTGTGAAGGTAAGGCTGCAACGGGGCCGCCTCTTCTTCTGGGGTAGAGGTGGGAGGGGAGGGTGCCGTCGCCTCCAGTGACAGGATGGGCCATCCTATCTCCGCAACCTCTGGGGGGCCCCTCACAAGAGCAGAAGCCTCTGGCACCACGCAAGGTGCCAGACTTGCCAGATGCAAGGACCATCTTGATGGGTTGCATCCAGGTTGAGGTAACCCAGGAGCATCTGAAGAAGATTCACAAAAATTGTCTCCTGCATTTTTGTGCAGACAAAAGCATGAGACGTGGAGACATGTTCGCTAAAAAATGGCCTTTGACCTATATTTGGCAGAGCTCCGTCGGTCTCCTCTCAAGTCTGTTCTCATCTCCTTTGTAGAAAATGATGAAAGACAATAACTTGGTGCGTCACCTGGATGCTTGTGAGACAATGGGCAACGCCACGGCCATCTGCTCTGATAAGACCGGCACACTGACCATGAACCGCATGACTGTGGTACAGGCTTACATTGGAGACACTCATTACCATCAGATCCCAAGCCCCGACACCCTCATGCCCAAGGTCCTGGACCTTATTGTCAATGGCATTTCCATCAACAGTGCCTATACCTCCAAGATTCTGGTAAGCTCTTTCTTTACCTGGACAGTTAGAGTGGGTGGTTGGAGGGGACCATTAATTTTCTCTGGACAGAGGAATTTTCTCTTGTTTATTCTGCCTGAGTTGCCGCCCCACATTCCCACTCCCTACTCCTCAATGAACATGTTTGCAGTGATGAGGGATTGATTCGTGGGAGTAGAGTTGGGGGTGGGAGGCAGGTAGAAATCCAGGTGTCTGAAATGCCCACCAATCACCATATCATGGCAGTATCTCTAGGAGAGATAGGCTTGTCAGGGGTAAATTACATACTTTCTAGAAACTAAGAGAGGGTGTTCAAATGAGACCCACACAGAGTGAAAGACCAGCACCACCCCTAGGGCAGACTAGAACATCGCTAAGCCCAGGATGGCTCGGGGACCACAGTTACCACTGACCGCTGTCTGCTTACCCTTGGAAAAAAGACAAATGCAGTCTCCCCCCATGGGCTCCGGGCACATACATGAATGTTTCATCGGGGAGTTCTTTCCTTCCTAAGGTCTCTCCCTAGTCAGGGCATGTTACTCAACAGCGTATCCAATTTTTCCCTCAGCCTCCGGAGAAGGAGGGAGGCCTCCCGCGGCAGGTGGGCAACAAGACCGAGTGTGCCCTTCTGGGCTTTGTCACTGACCTGAAGCAGGATTACCACGCCGTGCGCAACGAGGTGCCCGAGGAGAAGCTCTACAAGGTGTACACCTTCAACTCTGTGCGCAAGTCCATGAGCACGGTCATTGAGAAGCCCAGCGGGGGCTACCGCATGTACAGCAAGGGCGCCTCTGAGATCATCTTGCGCAAGTGAGCACCCCTGCCCCCACTTTTCCTTCCGTTCCAGACCCTCCCCGCTGGAAGATCTGGGTGACACGCAAGCCCCCCTTCCAGGTGGTGACACCATCACTAATAGCTGAGCACTTATTCAGGCCAAGGCTTATTTTCAAGTGCCTCGGGTGTCCCCTTCTGCTTCATCTTCGCAACCCAGTGCAGTAGATGCTATTTTCATCCCTGTTTTACAGACGAGAAAGCAGAGGTACGGGAAGTAAAGTAACTTGCTCAGGGCGAAACAACTAAGAGTGGCGCACCCAGGATTCAGACCTCAACAATCCAAGCTTTCATCTTCTCATGTGAAACCCAAGGAGTACCCACGGGTTACTATGAGTAGATGGGTCCATGCGCACTGGTGCGCCTAGGACATGTTGTGAGTTCGGTTCTAGAATTGCCGCAATGAAACGAGGCAAATGAGTCTTTTTGGTTCCCCAGTGCATACAAAACTCATAGTTACACTAGATTGTAGTCTATTAAGTGTGCAATAGCCTTTTGTATAAAAAAACAACGTACATACCTTATTTTAGAAATACTTTATTGCTAAAAAATGCTCGCCATCATCTGAGCTTTAGCGATCATCAGCTTCTTGCTGGTGGAGGGTCTTGCCCCCGTGTTGCTGGCTGCTGGCTGATCAAGGCGGTGGGTGCTGAAGGACCGGGCGGCTGTGGCAGGTTCTTAAAATAAGACAATGACATGTGCCGCATTGATTGACTCTTTTTGTGAATGATTTCTCTGTAGCATGAGATGCTGTTTGATAGCATTTTATCCACAGTAAAACTTCTTTCAAAATTGGAGTCATTTCCCCTCAAACCCTGCTGCTGCTTTATCAACTAAGTTTATGCACGATTCTAAATCCTCTCTTGTCATTTCAACAGTCTCCACAGCATCTTCATCAAGAGTAGATTCCATCTCAAGATACCATTTTCTTTGCTCATCTGCAAGAAGCAACACCTCATCTGTTCAAGTTTGATCATGATATTGCAGCCATTCAGTCCCATCTTCAGGCTCCGCTGCTAATTCTAGTTCTCTCGCTGTTTCCACCACATCTGCACTTACTGTCTCCCCTGAACTCTTGAACCGTGACGGTCAAAGTCATCCATGAGGGTTGGAATCAACTTCTTCCAAACTGCTGTTAGTGTTGATATTTTGGCCTAAATCATGAATGTTCTTTATGGCATTTAGGCTGGTGAATCTTTTCCAAAAGGTTTTCGATTTACTTTGCCCAGATCCATCAGAGGAATCTCTATCTCTGGCAGCTATAGCCTTACAAAATGTGTTTCTTAAATAATAAGTCTTGAAAGTTGAAATTACTCCTTAATGCACAGACTGCAGAATGGATGTCGTGTTAGCCGGCATGAAAACAACATTAATCTCATTGGGCATCTCCATCAGAGCTCCTGGGTGACCAGGTGCATTGTCAGTGAGCGGTCGTATTTTGAAAAGAATCTTTTTCTGAGCAGTAGCTCTCAATGGTGGGCTTAAAAACATTCCATAAACCATGTCATAAACAGATGTGCTGTCATCCAGGCTTTGTTGTTCCATTTATAGAGCACAGACAGAGTGGATTCAGCATCATTCTAAGGGCCCTGGGATTTTCAGAATGGTAAATGAGCACTGGCTTCAATTTAAAGTCACCGGCTATGTGCGCTCCTAACGAGCAAGTCAGCCTGTCCTGTGGGACTTTGAAGCCAGGCACTGACTTTTTAGATATGAGAGTCCTAGATGCCATCTTCCAGTATGAGGCTGTTTTATCCACATTGACAATCTGTTGTTTAGTGTAGCCACCTTCATGAATGATCTTAGCTAGACCTTCTGGATCACTTGCTGTAGCTTCTACATCACCACTTGCTGCTTCAGCTTGCACTTTTATGTCCCAGAGATGGCTTCTTTCCTTAAACCTCATGACCCAACCTCTCCAACCTTTGCTGCTTCAGACTTCTTCTGCAGCTTCTTCATCTCTCCCAGCCTTCATAGAATTGTGGAGAGTTAGGGCCTGGCTCTGGATTAGGCTTTGGCCTGAAGGGAATGTTGTGGCTGGTTTCGTCTTCTATCCAGACCACTCAAACTTGTTCCAGATCAGCAATAAGGCTGTTTTGGTTTCATAGGAACAGCGTTTTTCATTTCCTTTGAGAACTTTTCCTTTGCGTTCACAGCTTGGCTGCTGGGCCTAGCTTTCAGCCTCTCTCAGCTTTCGACTTGCCTTCCTCACCAAGCTCAATCATTTCTAGCTTTTGATTTAAAGTGAGACACTATGTGACTCTTCCATTCACTTGAGCACTTAGAGGCCACCGCAGGGGTATCCATGGCCTAATTTCAATAGTGTTGTCTCTCAGGGGAGAGGGAGGCCCAGGGAGAGGAACAGAGAAGGGGAAAGAGCCAGGCAGTGGAGAAGTCAGAACACATGCAACATTATCAATTAAGTTTGCCACCTAAATGCAGGTGACTGTTGATGTCCCCAAACAATTACAATAGTAGCATCAAAGATCACTGATCACAGATCACCGTAACAAATAAAATAATGATGAAAAAGTTTAAAATATTGCAAAACTTACCAAAAAGTGGCACAGAGACATGAAGTGAGCAAATGCTGTTAGAAAATTGGTGCCAACAGACTTGCTCGATGCAGGGTGGCCACAAACCTTCAATATGTAAAAAAAAAGAAAACAAAAACAGTATCTGCGAAGTGCAGTAAAGCAAAGTGCAATGAAACGAGGTATACCTGTACGTAAAATGCCGGGCACATAGCAAGTACTAGAAATGCTAGTTGTATGTCTCCTTTTCCTTCTCATGCTCAGTTCTGATTATAGGAAGTTGCATAACTTCATCAAGTGGCTAGACCGTTCACAGGTCATTAAAGCTGACCTGTGTAGATCCAGGGCCAGTAGCTGAATTAATCGGTGTCTCTGTTTGGCTCTACCCACCTTCTTTCAATCAGCCCGTACCTGTGGAGCAGGCCCTATGCACCAAGTACCGTTCTAGTACTATGCTAGTACCGGGAATTAAAAATGTCTCTCCACCTTTGAGAAGTTCAGAAGGCAGGTGATCCATCCACAAATGACCCTTGGAGTCACATTCACAGATGAGTAGATGAATAGGACCAGACGACATGGGAGAGTCACACCCTCCGCTTACCTAGACCTTATCCACCTCCAGACCACCTCACCCCAGCCAAAAGAGACTCAGCTGGACAATGGATAGATTTCTGGCCTTGGGACAGTGTCTGTACGAGTAATGCAAAGGCACCAGAATGTCTTCAAATGAGTGTAGAGACATATTGGGTGGGAAGGGGGTGCCGCCTCCTGATTGTGTGCCTCCCCAGGTGTAACCGAATCCTGGACAAGAAAGGGGAAGTGATGCCTTTCAAGAATAAGGACCGAGACGAGATGGTCCGCACTGTCATCGAGCCCATGGCCTCCGAGGGCCTCCGAACCATCTGCATAGCTTACCGGGATTTCAACGACGGAGAGCCCACATGGGACAATGAGAACGAAATCCTCACTGAACTCACGTGTATCGCAGTGGTGGGCATTGAGGACCCTGTGCGCCCGGAGGTGAGGCTTTGGCTTTGGCTTTGGCCAAAGGGTAAGAAAACATGAAGGGAGGGGCGCCTGGGTGGCTCAGTTGGTTAAGCGACTGCCTTCGGCTCAGGTCATGATCCTGGAGTCCCGGGATTGAGTCTCACATCGGGCTCCCTGCTCAGCAGGGAGTCTGCTTCTCCCTCTGACCCTCTTCCCTCTCGTGCTCTCTATCTCTCGTTCTCTCTCTCTAAAATAAATAAATAAAATCTTTAAAAAAGAAAAAAGAGAAGAAAACATGAAGGGAAGCCTTCCAACGGCCTCTGGCCCATGAGCAAGGCAAGCGCGACATAATGGGAAGCCAGCCCAAAGTCACGGGAATTGGGGGGACTCGTTCCATTTCTAGCTGTGACCCCAGGCAAGTTACCTAACAGCTTCTCACTTACAGGGATAGAGGTTTCTGTGCCTCCTGCTTCACAAAACTGCTGTAGAGTGCTGAGCTGGTAGAAGCTGGCGTTCTGACGGTTAATGCTGTCTGAGGGGTGAGAGGCATAGGTTTTATTGAGCTTATGATCTGGTGCCTAAGAACAGTCAGGAGGTGGAGTTAACCAGGACACCAACTTTGCCTCCAGCCACCTTCTTTCAATCAGTACATTCTTGCCGAGTGGCCATAGAACAGCTGAACCGTATTCCAAACACCAAGGCCTTGAAAAAGTCTCTGCTTATAAGAAGTTCAGACAGATGGACTATGAGTTGGTCAAGGCCCCAGGGCATGGGAAACTATAAAGAATTAACTGGTTGGAGTATGGGCCAGGGAGGTGGAGAATGGTAAAATCTTCTCCTAGAAAGGAAGACAGTGGCCAAATCCCAAAGTAGATGCCCTACTAAGGAGTCTAGACTGTAGGGAGAGGAAGCTTTCACGCCTGGCTCCTGAAGCAGATTTCCTCTTCAACTCATGGTACAGGAAGGCAAATTCAAGGGTAGTATTATGGGTAGGACAGAAGTGAGGTGGCACCAAACAATATAACAATGACTAGACGTGGCCTGTCCCCATGGTGCCGCTCCTAGGGTGCCTCTCTCCTGTCCACAATGAAGGGACCCCGGACAGGGGCAGCTCAGCAGGCCTCACCGCCCCCACCTCCTCCTTACTCTCCACAGGTACCCGAAGCTATTGCCAAATGCAAGCGAGCTGGGATTACTGTCAGAATGGTGACAGGTGACAACATCAACACAGCCCGGGCCATCGCCACCAAATGTGGTATTGTGACACCTGGGGATGACTTCTTGTGCTTAGAAGGCAAAGAATTCAACCGACTTATCCGCAATGAGAAGGGAGAGGTGGGTCCCGGCTGGGAAGACCCAAGGCCTCATTTGGCACCTGGTTGTGGGGGGGTGGGGGGGACGGCTCTCACGTCTGGGACACGGGAGAAAGTGGCTGGGTTTTGTTCTTGTTTGTTTGTTTGTTTCTTTTGAAGATCTAATTGGCTTTATTAAATGGTTTCGTGAATTGGGCAGCATCCCATATAGCAAGTAGGGGGAGCTGTGAGGAGCTGGACTGCAAGTGCGTGGTTTTTAAACTAAAATCTATTTAGAGCAAACCTTCTACCGGGCCTGCTCAGGTGGGAAAACTGGGAGTTTTCTTTCTTCTCTTTATCCTCCATCATAAGCTGTCTTTTGAGACAGTGTCACTGACTTCTCACATCTTCCCGATTGTGTTCAGCCATGGGATGCTTTCGTACTGATTCCCCTCCACCTCACCCTCCTGTGTCACCGCCCTGTGACTAGTGGTGGGTGGCACGGGTCTGCGAGAGGATGTGGTCTGGGTGTGGAGCAGACCAGAGCTTCCTGGTCTGCACAGAAACCAAACTGGAGACCTCAGAAGCACCTTAGCCAACAGCGGGCCCTGGCCCACCTCCTGTCAAGGGTCCAAGAAATAGGGCATTGGCTCCCCAGTAGGGAACTGGGAGGGAAGTGAAGACACGCAGGGCCTAAAGGTTCACCATCAATAAATCTGCCCTTGCGGACTGAGCTGGCTGTTTCGTCTCCCCTGGAGGCCGTGGTAACACCCACCACGGGCTGTGGCAGGCCAGCTCTCCCAGAATCTCAGGGCGCAGGGAGATGTAAACTTCGCCCGGATGGCTGTTCTGAGCTTTACTGACCCGGTGTGGTCTGGTGTTGGCAGGTGGAGCAAGAGAAGCTGGACAAGATCTGGCCGAAGCTTCGAGTCCTGGCGCGATCATCCCCCACGGACAAACACACATTGGTAAAAGGTGAGCTCGGCTCCTGACCGGGTGCCTGGGGCAGATGATGGCAGCCTGGGCAACAAGACAGAAAACAAGAACCACTGGCCAAAGCAACTCTCTTGTCTTGCATAGGAAGGTCCCAGGAGAGCTGTCCAGCTCATGGCAGGGCGGGGGAGGGGAAGCAGACAATTTAGCAAACATCTACATAGAAGACCTGTAATAAAGTTGTCTTTAAACATCGTATCTTGTTTGCCAGTATTACTGTGTACTAGTCAGAGCGGGTTAAATTGTTTCCATTTTGCCAATGAGGAAGTTTGAGGCTGAGAAGACTACTTACCCAGATTGCCCTGCTGGTGAGCGGAAGTGGTACGGTTCAACGCCCAGGCCTCTGTCTTCAAATCACCCGGCGCTTTCTCCAGCACAGACTGGCTGCCTTCGGGCCCCCGCTAGGCTACCTGACGAGGACAGACTCAGAGCTCAGAGCGCCACCGGGAAACAATTGACAGCCTTTGGGTGATACTATAGAGCCTCCATCATCGGAAAGAAAGAAGGAAAGAACAAAGTAGAAAGGGAGGTGGTCCACACACACACACACACACACACACACACTCACACTCACACACGCACACACTTCTATGGCACCAGCCTGGATTCCAGAGAAAGGGCATCCAGGTTTCATGTGTGTGTGTGTAGATGTGTGCACACGTGCACGTGTGTACCTTCTGGTGTCCAGCTCTGACACCCTGATCTCCTGTCCTCTCCTTGGCTGGAAGCAGCCAGCCTCCTGGCAAGTGTAATTTTCCGCTTTCACTCTTCCCTCCAGTTGTTTGCTTCCTGCTCCTGCTCAGGTAGCACATGGCCTCGTTGGCTGAGATAGGATGGAATGATGGCTGGGCTTCACCTGCTGGCTATGGGACCCTGCAAGGCCTTTCCCCTCTCTGGGTTTCAGTTTTCTCATCTGTAAGGTGATAGGAGTTGCTCAGAGCATGGATCTCTCTGGATCCCCTCCAGGCCTCTGATTGTATCATGCCTGTGGCTTCCGGCTGCCTGTTACTGGACCCTTGGCTTCTCCCCCTTCAAGGTGCTGTGCCTGCTGGCGCCCGAGGCTGAGACACTGCTCCCCCACCACCACCAGGGGGCAGGAGAGCACCGTCCGCCCAGTGCCCAGTCAGCCAACCTCAGCCCTGTGGGGCCTGGTCTACCCCTTCTTGTGGTTGTTTTCAGCTAGTAGCTGGACTTCGATGTATAAATGGCCTGTGTTTCTTGCCCGCTGCCAGGGTGAAGGCTGGACGAGGTGCTCCTCCAGCCCTCCCTCTAACCCTCAGATGGCTGAACGGAACAAGGCAGAGCAGTAGCAGCTTCTCAGGAGCTGAGAGATCTGTCGGCGCTCAGAAGGGGGGGTTACACTTTCAACATGCTATAAAGTGAGCTTGTCACCCACAAGAAAAGAAAAGAAAAGGAAGGGAGGTGGTAGCAGGGACCAGGGAAGAAGACCCACAAAGGGCCTCGGTGGGGAGCAGAGGGCTTCCACACGGCCTGCGGTAGCACATGTGGACTGGGCTTCCCAGGCATCATCGTACTGTTTTCCCAGGCATCATCGACAGCACTGTTGGGGAGCAGCGGCAGGTGGTGGCTGTCACCGGTGATGGCACAAATGATGGGCCGGCTCTGAAGAAAGCAGACGTTGGTTTTGCCATGGTAAGCAGCTCGGCGCGCTGTCCCTGCCTGCAAGCTGCCTTCTCCACCCGGAAGCCAAGACGGGCCTCTTGCAGCCTGCCGCTTCCTGTACCTTCACCCCCTCCTTGTGCTCTTTTCTCTGACACCATCTCTCCTGCTGAGCTGGCCGGTAAAAGTTTGTGTAATGGGAGACCCATCAGGTATGAAGACAAGATGACCCAGGCAGGGAAATCATGACGCCTCATTACCATGAACGTGGTGATGTTGTCTGCCTAGGCAGACCATAGAAAATTCAGGTTCCCTATGAAGCATGTATGCCATGGCCAGCACTGTTCATCACTCTGCTTTTCACTTGTGAGGCCAGGAGCATCAGAATCACTTGGAAAGTTCATTTAAAATCATGTATTACAAGGTTCCACAAGTGGATATCTTGATTCAGTAGCATCTGGGTAGGTCCCAGAGATGTTTGGCGTTTCCTAACAGCCACGCTTGTTGATTCTGGTGTTGCAGCAAATGTGGAAGCCCCCAGATGGCCAAGGACGTCCTCACACTCAAGTGGCTTGTGATTGTAAGCCTCCCGTGTGTATTGAACTATTGGTGATTTTTAAGCAGTGGAAGGAGATTCAAGAAGTAACCTGTCTTTACGGTGCTCCCTTTAACAACAACAACAACAAAAACATCGATTCTAGGAAGTTTCAAGAAGACACAGAAGTAGAGAGAATAGTTTAATGAATCCCCATATACCTGTCACCCAGCATTAATTATCAATACCTGGCCCAACTTGTTTCACTGAATGTCCCACCTCCCCCACTTCTCCCATCTCCAGCTGAACTGTTCTGAAGCAAATAAAGGACATCACGTCATTTCATTTGAATGTTAGCATACGCCTCTGATAAGCATGCATCGAGGACATACATCTAGAAGAATCATACCACCATTGTCTCACAACAGTTTGAGCCCTTACTATCATCAGTCATCTAGTCCATCCCCCCATTGCCCCAAGTGCTTCATAAATTCTCTTTTTTTGTCCAAATCAGATCTAAATAAGATCCATACGCTGCAATCACTTGCTGTATCTCTTAGAGCTCTTACTCTATAGCAGGAGTTTTTGAAGCGTGCTCCTCCTCCCAGCTGGGCCTGGAAACCTATAGAAATGCAGATTCCCAGGCCCATCGCAGCTCTTCTGGATCTGACAGCTCAGTGTGGGGGCCCAGCAATCTGGGCTTTCACAAGCTCTTGACATTTCTGTCACACCCTAAAGGTTGTGAACCACTGGTCCTATAGGATCCTTGTGTCAGAGGTCCCCAAGACCAGCCTTTACATTTGTGGATTCACTGGATGGGCTCATGAGACTCGGCATAGGGTTGTACTCATGACTAAGACTTATTCCATGGGTATAGTAAGGGAGAAGTCTGGAGGAATCCACATGCAGGCTTTCTTCTCTGTCCCTCAATGAGGGCTCACACAGAGCACACTCTTCCCCCGGCAACACACGTGTGATGTTTCTACCCGGGGAAGCCCATCAGAGACCCAGCGCCCAAAGTTTTTATTGGGGTTGGTCATATAGTCACATTTTGCCTAATACGTGCTAAGATTCCAGATTCCTAGGGGTGCCTGGGTGGCTCAGTCAGTTGAGCATCCAACTCTTGGCTTTGACTTGGGTCATGATCTCAGGATCGTGAGATCGAGCTCTGCATTGAGCTCCACACTCGGCAGGGAGTCTGCTTGAGATTCTCTCTCCCTCTGCCCCTCCCCCCATTCACACTTGCTCTCACCCTCTCTCAAATAAATAAATAATTAAATCTTTTTTTTTTTTTTAAGAGAGATTCCAGACTCCTAGAAGGAAAGAGAAAACATATTATTCAGGCACAGTCTAGGCACAATGAACCACTAATTAATTTTCAGTTAATTGTTGACTGGGAGCGTTCTGAGAGCCAAGGCCCCAGATGCCAACTCAGGGCCAACCTCACAAATAGCCCTTTTTAAAGATAACAGCACACTATGTTAGCTCTCCTGCCCAATCCCCTCCATCTTTTTTCCTAGCTATTTAATTTTGAAGGAACCAGGCTGGTTGAATACACAGAATAATGCATAGTGTGGATTTTGTTGATTGTATTCCTGTCATATGCAATCAGATTCTAGATCCCATCTTTCATTAGGGGCTGCAAAATAATGTCCAGATTTTCTTTATTTATTAACTTGAAGACTTCTATAGAAAGAAACTTGCCCTCAAGGATTATTTGGTTATTCTGAGGTTGAGGTTCAGATTCCTATATGAAAGGCAGCTAAATGCCTGATCCTTTTTCTTTATTTACTAGTTTTCAAAATGAGTTGACTTTTTAGGATACCCCAAAGATGACCAATGAATTATATATATATGTTTTTTTTAAATTTTACTTTTTAAGTAGGCTCCATGTCCAAACGGGGCTTGAACTCATAACCCCAAGATCAAGAGTTGCACATTCTACTGAGTAAGGCAGCCAGGCACCCATGAATTATATTTTTTAAATAAACTCTACTAAGTTACTCTACTAAAAACAGTTCATTGTTTATTTTTTTAATATCATTATGAACTCACAGATTTAAGTATATTTGATGCGTTTCAATCCATTGCCTTTGTTATTTTGACGTTCACATTGACTGGTCAGTAGCCTCATGAATACTGCTGGGTCCTTTAGATACAACCCCAGTTGTCCTTAATACCTTCCTTGGCTTCTGGCATGATAAGATGTTCCAGAATCATCATACATATTTCTCATCCTAGATCTGGAATCATCCATTTCTCAAAGAGTCCTGCTTTTTAATAAGAAATGGTACTTAGAGAACACATCTGAATGTCAGGATGTTCCTTACTACCACGTAAATCATTGTTTCTAGATCTTTTCAATGGTTTTGGTCAAAGCTAGGAAATATATCTTTTTTTTTTAATAATTTTTATTGTTATGTTAATCACCATACATCATTAGTTTTTGATGTAATGTTCCATGATTCATTGTTTGTGTATAACACCCAGTTAGGAAATATATCTTTAATGTCTCTTTTTTGTTTTTGCATTTCTTTATTTTAAAGATAAAATACTTCATGAGTCCATATTGGTATTTTCAATTCAAATTTAGAATTATAGAACTCTAACTTACTACTTTTATTTAACTTCCCTAATTTTATGTTTGTATCTCTTAAGCTGAAAATTTTGATTCCTAATGGCATTAACATAATCCTTACTTGTTTTACCCTAAAATATAAGTAACAGTCTCAAAATAGCAATAATAATACAATTACTCTACAAAAAACAGTTCAAGATTTTTCTTGTAGTTCTTTTTATCCTATAGGTATACTCTGCTAGGTTCTACCATCAAGGTACTATGTTTTTTTTAAAAGTCATTTGGAATATTTTTCCTTTGTGTGATTGTGCTACCCACTGGTTATACCAGTTCATTTATACCATGTTGCTTTCCATTTTAGAGATTGCTTCTTTTTTTTAAGTAAGCTCCACACTAGGCCCCAGTGTGGGGCTCGAACTCCTGACCATGAGATCAAGACCTGTGCTGAGATCAAGAATCAGACACTTAACTGACCAAGCCACCCAGGCACCCCTAGACATTGCTTTTTAAACTTAATTTTGGGGCGCCTGGGTGGCTCAGTCGTTAAGCGTCTGCCTTCGGCTCAGGTCATGATATCGGGGTCCTGGCATCGAGCCCCTCATCGGGCTCCCTGCTCGGCGGGACGCCTGCTTCTCCCTCTCCCACTCCCCCCTGCTTGTGTTCCCTCTCTCGCTGTGTCTCTCTCTGTCAAATAAATAAATAAAATCTTTTTAAAAAATAAATAAATAAACTTGATTTATACTCATATAAAGCAGTTATATAGTTCTAAAGTCAAATATACAAAACAAAGTCTATTCCTAGAAATCCAGCTTCTATGCCAATCACCTCTACCCTATTGCCTCCCCTCTTAACCCTAAGTAACATTTCTTTTGTTTTTGGTGTATCCTTCTGTTTGCTTCTTTAAAATATAATCAAATGTATGATATATTTGTATCCTATCCTCTTAGGTAAGTGATACTTATCTATACTGCCAGGTATACTTACCTACACACATACCATGCACTCTTTTTTTTCACATTCCATAGTAGAAAGTATATATAGTCCTCCTTTCTTTTTTTTTTTTCCCCTCCTTTCTTTTTCCAGTGCATGTGACACATTGTGTGGATGTGTTAGAGAACTTTTTGATGGGGAAATTGAATTGTATAATCTATAACATATTTGTTTATTGTAATCTGGATAGGAAAATATTACTACCAGGTAAAGAGAACAAATCATCTACTACTGCAAGCCACATCAATGAATAAGCTCCTCTGTGGGTTATAGGCTTTCCAAGACATGGAATAGAAGTAGGGGCTGGGGTTCTTAGGGATGGTTTTGCATCCCATAGACCATTAAAGATAGACAAGGTTTAAATAGATGAGGAAGGAGGATGTTTCAGGTTTAGGGAAATGGTGTAAGTAGAAGTCTAGACTCTAGAAGTAAAGGACAGATTCAGGGAATTGTGAACAAACCAGTGGGTTTTGAGCAGAAAGATTATATAGGAGCAGACTGGAAAATGAATCTGAGTTCACCTGTTGAGGGCTCTGACTACCAGTCTAGAAATTTTACTGTTTCTATAAGCACAGCTTTCAACCATTGTCTATTGAGAAACCTTTAGTGGTTCCCCAGGAACAGGAATTTGAACAAGCATAGGACATCTGAACTTCACTGCCAGACTACTCCTGCCAGAAAAAAGTGTAAGGTGACTTAGAGGTGTGGGGGAGACAAGGACTTAAGTGAGACATTGGCCGTGGCAAAAGAAATATAAGAACTTAGGGGCAAAAAAAGAATTTAGGGGCTCCTGGCTGGCTCAGTAGGGGGAGTGTGTGACTCTTGATTTTGGGGTTGTGAGTTTGAGCCCTATGTTGGGTGTAGAGATTACTTCAAAATAAAATCTTGAAATAAAGAGAAAGAAAGAGAGAGAGAGGGAAGGAAGGAAGGAAGGAGAAAGTAAGAAAGAAAGAAAAAAAGAAGAAAAAGAAAGAAAGAAAGAAAGAAAGAAAAAGAAAAAGAAAAAGGTTAAGAAAAAGATTAAGAAAGAAAGAAAGTGTAGGGATTTGGAGGGATAATAGGACATGGGTTCCCTATCCTTTCCTTCATTTCCAAGGTGGGGGAGTAGCGAAGAAGGGAGAAAGGAATATCAAAGATAACTCATTTCCAGTTTGGGTTCAGGAGTAAGATGGCGGCATCAGGCCCTAGCCCTGCTTTCTGTGGACTGACAGCAACACATTTTCTCTGGAGGAGAGGAGAACTCAAAATACAGTGGTTCGGTCATTGGCATTAGCGTGGGGAGTGCGCCCTCTAGTGTTTATGGCCAGTTCGGAAGGTTCTTGGAGGTCTGGAAACGCAGTCTGGGTTCAGAACGTAGATAAACTCTGCTTTATCCAGATCCTCACTGCTCACCTTCCCTCTCTTACTCAGGGTATTGCAGGCACGGATGTAGCAAAGGAGGCATCAGACATCATCCTAACAGATGACAACTTCACCAGCATTGTGAAGGCAGTGATGTGGGGGCGAAACGTCTATGACAGCATCTCTAAGTTTCTGCAGTTCCAACTCACTGTCAACGTGGTAGCCGTGATCGTGGCCTTCACCGGAGCCTGTATCACCCAGGTGAAGGAAGTGTGGGGTGGGCCGGGAGGAGAGGGTTGAGGCGGGGGCTAGGGAACATGGGGAGTGGGGTCCTGGCTACTGAGGATTAAGGACAAGGGTTCCCCCAGGGGGGTTGGGGCAGGAGTTAGCTCTCCTAGGTCTCCATCTGCCCATGCAGGGGAATGAGAAGTTATCTACTGCTAATTTAACACATGCATGTTAGCCACTATGATGAGTACTTCTATGGTCTTCAGAAACAACCTTGCAAAGTGGGTATTCTCCCCATTTTACAGGCAAGGAACCCAAGGCTTAAAGAGGTTAAGTAACTTTCTCAAGGGCACTCAGCTAATAAATGGCCAGATCCAAAGTCTAGGTGGATAGCGGGAGCGAGGCCGTTGCAGGGGCAAAGCTGAGGCTGATGAGTGAGGCAGGGGCTGGTTTTCGAGGAAGGCTGAAAGGACTGGTGCTTCTTCCCACCAGGATTCCCCACTGAAAGCCGTGCAGATGTTGTGGGTTAACCTAATCATGGACACTTTTGCCTCACTGGCCCTGGCCACGGAGCCTCCTACAGAGTCTCTGTTGAAGCGTCGCCCCTATGGCCGAAATAAGCCTCTGATCTCACGTACTATGATGAAGAACATCTTGGGCCACGCTGTCTATCAGCTCACCGTCATCTTCTTCCTCGTCTTTGCCGGTGAGCCAAGGTTGGGGCTGGGGCTGGGGACAAGGGTCGGAGTGCAAAGCAGAGATGGGGACAGAGAACGGCCCAAGGGAGCAAGCTGAGCACAGGACAGGGGATGACAGCAGCTTCACCCACTGGGGGTGTCCCTTGCCCCGCTATGTGGCACATCATACTATTTGACGTGCTCCTCTTGAGAATTTCACTGGGTGGCTTTCTGTAGTTTTTTTATTTTTTAAAGATTATAAAACTAAACCTCGGGTCATGTGGTGAGTAAATAGTGGCACTGAGATGGAGCCTGTTGTCTGCCTGACCCTCATGCAGCTTTCCCCCCACGCTGCACCTTAAGAAGTCAAAGTCACTGGAGCGGATGTGGAGAGAGAGTCAGATATGCTGAGACCAGACCTAACACTTAAAGTGTTTGATAACTAGTGTAGCTCAGATACTGACCCATTAGAATGGACACCAGCTGTAAGCCACCAGCTTGGCCATACCAACGTGCTGTTCTGACTCAACCTGAGCCCTCTCGGACACCATACTTAACCCGCTAATGCTTCCTTTGTCCCCACTAGGTGAGAAATTCTTTGACATTGATAGCGGGAGGAAAGCGCCTCTACACTCGCCCCCCAGCCAGCACTACACCATTATTTTCAACACCTTTGTGCTGATGCAGCTCTTCAACGAGATCAATTCCCGCAAGATCCATGGAGAGAGGAACGTCTTTGCAGGCATCTTCCGCAACCTCATCTTCTGCGCCGTGGTCCTGGGCACCTTCATCAGCCAGGTGAGCCTCTGGCTGGAGTCGGGGCAGGAGGGCTGGGATGGCAGAGGTCAGAAGCAGGGAACAGGGTTCCCTAGGTACCCAGGAGAAGCAGGGAGGGAAGGATGGGGACTCGGGCTGCAGATCGAACGCTTTTGGATTCCCAGTTGGCCTCCATTTGCACATCGCTCTGGAACTGGAACCTGCTGGGTCAAGTGCTGCGGTGCAAGGCAACACGTTGGTGGCAAATAAAATATGATTGGTGGGATCCTTTCCTTGTCTTTCTAAAGAACAGAAATTTCACAGAGTGGCCAAGAAGAGGGTCACTCCCCGCAGTCCTTTGCATGCCTCCTGCCAGCGTACGTGAGACATGCGGGTACGTGCCGTAGGGCTCTGTCCTTGTCTCTGCCCCTTCACTCATGAGGGGCCCTGGTAGAAAACGCTCCGCAGTTCGCGGACAGAGAGGAGTGTGGCATGCCGCACAGGCAAATGGGCATATGAGCCTCTTGTAGAACTGAGGTCAAGGGCGTGGCTGCCCTGGTGGTGAAAGGATTGGGTCCCTTCCTCGCCCTAGTCCAAGGTACACTGAACACCTGCAGATACAGGAGACTGTGAGCTCGCCCGATACTAAGGGCTTCTGCCCTCCCCAGCCGGGGTCCCCCTCATTGGCCCCGCTCTTCGATTCCTCCTCTCCATCTCTGTGCCTTCTCTTGGCACCTCACCCACTGGCTGTAGTCATGAGAAGCTTCCAGCCCCCCTGGATCTGCCCCTCTTATCTTAATAATATCCATAGTAAGTAGCTCTGTCTCCCCCTCAGAGTCTCTAGAAAGACTGTGTCTGTCTTCTCTTCTCCCCTTCCAGATTTCTTCTTTCTCCTCCTCCGACAAGCAGATCAGGACTGGCACCACAGGGATCATGGGCCAGGGCTCTGACGTCGCTTTGGTGGCCTCGGCTAGAGGGCTAGCTGCCCATGACTCGCCTCCCTGATGGTGGGCTGCCTCTTTCTCTGTTCTAGATTCTCATTGTGGAATTTGGGGGTAAACCCTTCAGTTGTACGAAGCTCACCCTGTCTCAGTGGTTTTGGTGTCTCTTCATCGGCATCGGAGAACTGCTGTGGGGCCAGGTGAGTACCGGTGCAGGCTTGCCCCATGCGCGGCCGGCACACTCTCTCTCCTCTGGAGGAGCTAGGACATGCAACGGCGGCACCTCCCAGCTCCTCACCAGCATCTTCTCCTTCCGTCCCCTTCCTCCCCCCACTTTTCGAGGTTTTTCCATCTTGCAGGATCCTGGAGTAGCATGATCAGTGCCCACCATTTCCGAGGCTTTGGATCTCTTCTCTAACCATGCCGAGAGGCAGGCAGATCCCTTAGCGCCTCTGAGATGGGAGTGGAAATTTTCAATGGAATTTTGCTAAAAAGAGAAAAACAAAATTAAGGGTCTTAGAAGTAGAAGTTTACAGAGCAGAAGTCTTTATTTTAATGAAGCCACAGTCTGGCTGTGAGCTGCTGGTCTGACCTAGTTTAGGGCTCCCCTGCCCCTCATGTTCACCACGTCCTTACTGGGTTGACTGGGTTGAATGGCTGACTCTCACCTTAGATAAATCTAGACCCACCAGGTCTCCAGAGAAGCAATGTAGCACCCAGTTCAGAGCATGGACTCTGGGACCAGCTACCCGGGTTTGAATCCCACATCTCCTTTCTACAAGTTGAATCACTTTGAGCAAGTGCCTTAACCACTCTGTGCCTCCTCAGTCTCCTCAAGTTAGGAGAACAGGATCATCGTTCATCGTTGTTAATCAGCCAATCAGTTACAACACAGAAATGACTTAGAACAATGTCTCGTACCCTCTAAGTACACAGTAAAAGTTAGCTATTAACATGATAATAGGATCAGGTCTGGTAAGTTTTGTTCCTTCCCAGATGCCACTTTGCACATCCCCCTCATCCTCAGCTCTGAGCCAGACCAAGCTCTGCTTTACAGACCTCCAGTCTCTGCCATTGGGCACCTAGCCACCTGGGTAATGGCTTTGCTCTAAGTGGCCCCAGAGATCCTTCCCTGGGACTGCAGACCTTCCCCGTAGACCTGCTAGTTGTTTCTTTCCTACATCCCAGATGCCTCCCTGATCAATTGCTGTCCCAGTTCCTACCATGAGTCCCTCCACCCTCTTCTGTTTGGTGGCGTTTCTTTACCATAGGTCCCTTTTACACCTGGGTGAAGCTTGGTTGTTTCACCAACTGTCTGAAACTCCCGTCTGGGTCTGGTCTCACACATGACCACACAGTCTTGATGCTAGAGACCAGCCTTCCTTCTGCATCACAGCAGCTCCTTCCAATCATCCAAAAGCAGACATTCTTCCCATTTCAAAATCCTTGACTCCACGCTGGACTGCTCATACAGTCCTGCTCTCATCCCAGCCCTGTCTACTCCTCGTCTGTGTGTCGGGGAGAACTGATTGACTGAGCTTCTTGAGTGACTTCTTTTGAATTGCAAGCCCAACCTACTGCCCATGTCTGATAATACTTGTGTATCCCCTCTTCCCCGGCCTGTCCCACCCACTTCCTCACCCCAAGCCCAAGAAAACCTCTAGTACCCTTTCACCCTTGTTTTATAACACAGGAATTACTTTGCACACAGCAACTAGAAGAGGGTCCCTCCCTTCCGACGCTTCCCTTCCCTTTGCCCATACACTCGCAATGGGCTCATCCTCTCCTATCCCCAGACTTGTTTCCCCCCAGGCTCTGGTCCCTGTCCCTTCTTACTGTGTGCCATGCATTATAGTTCTCCTTCCCTTAAGAGACACATGGCAAAATAGAAATGAAGAACTGAGACAAAAGGAGAATCAAGTGTATAACTAACTAGGCAGATGGCTGGCCGCACATGCAAATGTCAGTTCTCCTTCGTGTGTCCACAAATACAGAAAACCTTCCTGAGGGCCTGCCATTTGGTAGGCCCTGAGGGGTGCTTGCCTGGCCGGGTTGGCACCTCTCCCAGTGCCCCCTGCAACGGGTGATGGGGCAAAGAGTGACCTACGCGAGGGCCTGACCCCATGTGAGCTGAGGGACCGCCCTGATTCTGCTGTCTCCCCTCTTGCTGCACCTGTTCTCAGATCATCTCCACGATACCTACCCAATCCCTGAAGTTCCTGAAGGAGGCTGGGCACGGCACCACCAAAGAGGAGATCACCAAGGACGCAGAGGGGCTGGACGAGATTGACCACGCAGAGATGGAGCTGCGCCGAGGCCAGATCCTCTGGTTCCGGGGCCTGAACCGTATCCAGACTCAGGTACTCTGATAGTGGCCTGTCCCCTTGCCGGGAGAAGACATCTCTCCATGTTGGGAAGGGTGGGAGGGGCAGCCGCTCTTGGCGGCCAACATCTCTTCCCTCCCTCGGGCTCACTGCCGGTGGGCAGCCCGAGCTCCCTAGCTCCAGGGGCGAGCTGCCTGGGCCTCTCTGAGAGGAGAGAGTCATAGGGCCCAGAGCACCGGACGCAAACTGGTAGCATCGTGCTTTAGCTTCTAGTCGGTTCTAAAGCCCACTTGGCTACCCTCCCCGGGGCCAGCAAGCTTCCCGTGTAAGGTCTCTTGCAAGCACCAGACCTGACGTCAGGGTGGGAGATGTTCGGAGTCTATCCCTACCCTTCAGAAGGAAGGAGTTAGACAATATCCCTAAGCCAGCCTCACCAGCATACACTTTGTATGCATCCCCAAGCTGCTGTGAGAGTAACATAGCCGTTATCTGGAGGGGTCTTTGTAAAAGAAACTCACCCTCTCATATCTTCCCCACTCACACTTTAAGGCCATGGTGGGGAATCTGATGGCTCAGTGTGTATAAATGACAAAAGTCTCTCAATGCCTGAGTATCTTTTGCAGGATTCAGATTTGCTTCCCCAAAAGGAAGAAGCTATAATTTCCTCAAACCTTTTCCCTTCTTGCAATTTCTGAAAGGGCATAGATGGCTGCTCTTAAGCGCCCTGCCTATGGAGCCCTACAGTAACGTTTTTCTTCCCACTTTCCATGCAGCAACTGTAACCACCTGCTCCTGGGTGGGCGGGCTGGTCTAGGCCCTGGTTGTTCTATCAGGTTCCCTGTTCTTGCCCTATATGCCTCTGTTCTATGAGTCCTGAGATTTCCTATCTCCAGAGAGCCGGCCTATTCCTCTCCGCTGGTTGGCTGGAGATCCCAGAAACAAGTTCCACTCTCAAAAATTAGCTGCCGATGGCGTAGAAAGTTCCCTAGTCAAGCCCACCTCGTTCGGTCATAGGGAAGAGAGATCAAATGAATCCTCACCACTGCATACCTGCTGGGAACTTGTCCCCCATAGGCAAGACGGTGATGGAAGTGGGAAGGCAGGGCTAGTTAGGGAAGCACTGGGGCTCCTTTCTGCTCTCTCGGGTTCCTCCCTGCAGAGAGGGAAACTCCCCCAGGGCCTGCAAACCCCACCCCCACGCCCCTCCAGGCCACTGGCTCTTGTCTCTAAAGCCCCGGTGCTTTCCTTCAGGTCTGCTCCTTTCAAAATAACCTGTCTGCTTTTCTCCCTTCAGGGTCACTGCCTCCTCTTCTCCTATGTGATATTGTTTTTTCCCTAGCCCAGGATTCCCTCGTTCCGGCATCTCCTTGGCCCCTCGCCAGTCTTCCGTCGCGGGGGGCTGAGATTCATGGATCTCCCTTCCCCTCTACTCCCAATTCCCACTCCCTTGACTCTATACCCCTGGGTTCGGATGCACGACCTGCACAGTTTTCACTGTGGAAGTGGGGGCCTTGTGACGTTAACAAGCTCAGGAAAGTACCTTCCCCGTAGCGGTCCCCCCTCCCCATGTGCAGCCCCTTCCCTCCCACGGGATCAGGCCGCTCCGTATCCCGGAACTAAAAACTATATAACGTGATGAAGGGATGGTAGTTTAGCTCAGACTTTGGTCTGAATCCGGAAACCAACCCTAAACATTCCGTGGCTTCTCAGGAAGCTTTATAAATAAGAACAACTGTCTGTCTCCTAAGGTGCCTGTTTTGTCACCTTCTCACCTGGGGAAGCAAAGCGAAATGAATGGAGTCAGCCCCTGCTATTAAGCCTGTGGGCGTTTTTTAAGATGGTTCTACCAGATCCTGAAGAATAGAGGAATTCCTTTTGATTTGTTCCTTGTCACTTAGGGGTCAGGGATCAGGACAGTAGGTTTGTCCCAGGCCCCAGACCAAGGCCGTGGTTGGTAACCAAACAGCACGAATCACCTCTGTGTCTGAGAAGTAGGACACAGAGAACCAGAGACCACTTGCTAGACTGTAGCCACTGACCACCACCGCCAACCAGCACGTCTTGCTCCCCCGCCCTCGGTCTAGCTACCGAGTTATTGTCAGACGTTGCCAGACGTTTCAGGAGCCCCGGTGCCGGTGGCATTCTCGCTAAGGAGTCTGGCTGCTGGGTTCCTGAGCTCCCTTCTCAGGGGCCCTGTCTGCTTCAGCCCAAGGAGCAGGGTCTCAGGACACCCAGAAGCAGGTGAGCCCAGCAGTTGGGGTCTAGGAGCCTTTCCACCCCAGCCACCTGTGGGTGGCCTACTACCTGCCTCGCTTTTTTTCTTTAAACGCAGGAATTCTTTTCCTGCAAAATCTGCAAAAATCGATAGTCAACTTAATTGGTTCAGAGGTTCCTGAGGCTCAGAATTCAGTTACTATATTATACTCCACCTTCTATCTTAAATGGCATGCCTTAGTTTTTAAGACTACAGGTCAACACAATGAATAAGCTGTCAGTCTCTGTTAGGAGTCACGGGGTAGAGAAGTCCCTTTAAATTGTAGATACTTTTGGACACCCGCACACCTAAAATGTCCTTCGTAGGCTGCAAGGGAAGAGAAGACCGGATTCTGGCTGGGTATTTGGACTCCATGGCAAATTGTTCTCGAAAGGAAGTGTGCTGTGCGATTAATGGTTTTCCTCTTCTCCTCACCGTTGCTTTGTGTACGAGGGAAACTTCTCTCTTGCTCCTGCTCCTATCCCCTTTTCCCAGCACGTTCCGTCCCCCGCCCTAACCCTCCAGGATCCCTGCCCCCACCTGTTTCTTCCCCTCTCTCTGGACTGTGCAGCAAAGCTGTCTCATTCTCTGATTCTTTGCAGATCGACGTAATTAACACATTCCAGACGGGAGCCTCTTTTAAGGGAGTCCTAAAGCGACAGACCATGGGGCAGCACCTTGATGTTAAACATGTTCCTAGCTCATCCTATGTAACAGTTGCGCCAGTCACATCTCCCCCCACCACTTCTGTTCCTGCTGCTGTCTCATCTCCTACTCTGGGCAGTGAGTGAGAGTCTATTATGATGCATGATTTGCTAAAATGACCACAAGAGAGCACGTGGCATCCACTTTAACAAACCGTGGCATCCACTTTAACCAACTGTGGTTATCTTTTCCTTTTGGTTTTTCCCTTTGACCTCTGACTTAAGGGAAGAAAAATGGGACAGAAATCCCAATCCCAAACCAGGCTGTGTGCCCTTTTATTTTATTTTATTTTTTAATGTTGAAAAACTATTAAACCATAATCATTTTAACGACAATAATCCCGCTTTCTGATCGTTCCTCTCCATTGCCTGTTTCTTCCTTGAGTTTTTTGTTTGTTTGGTTTTACTTTGAGTTGTTTGTTGGTTGGTTGGTTGGTTGGTTTTGCTTTGTTTGGATATGTTGTTGCTCCTCTCCTCTCCTGCTCCTTTGAGTCTAAACTTGATCTCCTGAGGTTAGAGGCGAGGTTGGGCCAATGAAAACCCAGCCCTCTCTTCCTGGGAGGGAAGGGGGACAAGTTTCAGATCTCCTGAAAGAGAATATGAAGAGAGCTACCCTTCCCGTGGGCTTTTCTACCAGGAGATCCCTCATCATTGAGCCGACATTGAACTTGGCCGATAATAACGGTCCTTCTGGGCTACCGCCCTGTTGTGAGCTGGCAGCATTGGCGTAGAAGCTGCAACTGAGCATGAAGAAAAGGAGCTCAGTTCAGTTGCACAGGGCTGAGTGTCCCCGAGGTTTCACTTTTCAGGGACGGCAAACCAAGCTCTGGTCTAAGAATCAATGTATTCACATCTGGGCAGGAGAAATGTATACGCAAAGGTCCAAATAACTTAATTTTCTTCACTCCAGCTTTTTTCTTTTTAGGAATTTCTGAAGAGCAACTTTTGTTTTGTTTTGGTCTTTTGCTTCCCCTTTCCTCTAGTTTGACTGTCTCACCCATAGCCAGCCCTTCACGCCTTATTTTGCACATGAAGTTTTAGGTGCCTCTTTCTGGGCCAGCCTATCAGCTGGAACATTGTCAGTGTTTAACCTAAGATCTGGTGCTCCCATCAGGAGATGGTTGGATTCTTGCTAATGCTTATGCCTTAAATTCCGGGTCATTTTACCTTCCCCAAATGGGACACAGAGAGGAGAGAAGGCTCTTTGCTGATAGTGCTATTAAGGTATTTGGTGGGGAAGACGTCTCCGTGTATTAAGTCTATTGTGAGCTTCAGATATTTGACTATTTTATTTATCTCTTCTTCCCCCATCCCCCCAAAACCCCGGAAGGGAGGGCGCGGTAAAGAAAGAACAGTTGCATTATCTGTGGTTGAGGTGATTGTGAGCTGTGCAGGTTAACCAGAATCAGATTATTTGTTGTCTTTGTGGCCAAATGTAAGTATTCTGGTGTGAGATATGAGGGGTGGGGTTTTCTATAGATACATATTTCTTTAGGCCCTAAAGCAGTCAAAGAACTAAGTAAGTCTTACCCTGCAAAAATCTAAGAGCTTCTCCCTCTAGTCCTTCCATATTCCTTTCTTATTTCCTTTTTTCTTCTAGCTTTTCCCTGTCCTTCTAACTAGTATCTGTTCTTTTTTAATCATGCCTTTCTGTGAGGAAGGGCTAGTGTCAGCTGTCCCAATGATTTGAAGGTGGAAAGAGACTAAGCAGAAGACAGAGCCCATCGGGTTCTTATGGAATTGCTCTTATGGAAAAGAGGGTAAGCTGCTGACCCTCAAAGGCAGAAATTGAGTCAGGAGACAGCCACACCCACGCTCTCTCCAGCTGCTCCTTCTTACCTGGATGTCCTAGAAGAAAGAGTCACGCATTTCAGGACCCCCGTCCCCATTCCAGATCTCCAAGTGAATTCAGTTATTTGTCTAACCTTCAGTAGATAAATCTTTAAGATTTCCCTCTATAGGAAAACCCTTAAGTCCTTCTCTTCCTCTGGTTTCTGAAAAGAGAACAGAAGACTATAGAATCTAGCTGAAGAAATGGAGTCTTCATCTGCCCATTCACTGAGCTCCAGAGAGTGGTCCTTAGCCCTCATACCTAATCAAAAGGTCCAGCCTGGTAAGGACTCCTGAGACACGAGAAACAGTCGCCCTTCAATCAGCCACTTCTACATGTAGGACAGGGGCCACAGAAGAGCCATGTCCCAGAGGTTTTGGGGGACAGTAACTGGGGAAGGAAGGGCTGATTGGCTGAGTGGAGAATGCCTACAGCTTTCACAGTGGCCACTTCACTAGCTGTGTCTTGTTCCCCGTACTCTGCTCATGCACCAGGGATCAGGGAAGGAGGATGCCACCTTTGCTTGGGGTAGACTGGTGGTGATGTATCTGCGTGATTGTTCATCAGCATGTGTTATATATTCTCTGTTGGAGCTGAGGAGCATTCTGGCACAGCCCCAAGCCCTCCACCCCCCACCCTTCTCTCCCCCACCAGGCCACTAGAGGTGCCGCCTAGTTCCCTGACTCCTCTTCCTTCAAGCTTCCCTTGCAGGATGCTGGTTTCCCTTTAGATTCTAGAAGCCCTGCAGTCTAGCCGGATGACTGTTCCTTGCTCCCCCAAAGAAGACATTTTCCCTATTGTTTCCATCTACCCATTCCAATTCACTTTTATCTCCCGTATTGTTTGCCTGTAACAGTGTTATTGATCACCCCAACAGGTGAGAGGAAAAGCCAGAAAACAGGGCTCCAGACCCTGGCTCTAACCCCAATTTTTAAAAATCTGTTTTCTCTATTGGATTTCACATATAATTATTTTCATTAAGTATTCAGTTGCTTCAAAAAAAATAGAAGCAAGAAGTTTGAAAATCACTGATATTGAAGATAACCAGCTGGTGGTGTAAAAAGGTACCTCTTCTTCTGCAGCACTTGTTTAAAACTTGGAAATCTCAAGAGCAGGTGAAAAGTGTGGGCTATGTCATCCCTCCTACAGGGGGTGGTATGGCTTGGAACCCATCTCTTGACCAGGGAGAAGGCACTGGGTTTGGACTCACTTCATCCAAGGTGCCTTGCTCTCAGATTTGACGGAGATCAGTTAAAGCTTGGGGGCCTCTGGAAGACCAAATGGAGCCTCTGTTCCATCTGATCTCACCTAGGTCTGGAGCAAAGAGAACATGACAGGTAAAATGCACCCATCAGATTGTCAACAGCAGTCAGAGAAGGATGGAAACGTAGGTCCTTACCTTCTGTTCAGCATGGCAAATGTGTGCCCAGGTTCCTTGCTTCTTCTTGGCTGAAGTGTGGAGCCGATTCTACCGAGCAGCAGAGAGTGCTTTGCCTTCTAAGCTCTGGGCACCCACAGTCCTGGGTGGGCAAGCTGTTGTGGAGTGAGGCAAGATAAGGAAAGCCTTAGCCAGCGAAGACACAACTTCAGTGAATCCTCTTCATGTGTTAGTCTTGAAGGGTCTATCCAGTAATAGCATTGCCTGACTCTTTGTGTCTCCTTTGTCTGCACGTTCTTGCCTCTTCTCTAGGGACCTATTCTTTGCTGAAACAACAGAGGCATGGAAGAGGGGCCCTAGGCCACCACTCAGCCTCCCTCCCTTGCCCCTCCTACCATACCAGTCTCTCCGGCAGTAGCCTCATTTCTTTCCTGAGGGAATGATTTTTGGACAAGACTAGGATCAGCCACCTCCCCACCACCAAAACCATCCTCCAGCCACTTTCCTCTCCCTTGGCCTCTCTCTCCCACCGTCTCGGGATCCAACCTACTGCCCCAACCCCAATTCTGCCAACCCAGGTTCTAAACCATACTTCAGAGAGGCCTACCGTTCAGAAAAGCAGGCTGCCAAAAGAGCTGGGACCCATGGATGAGGCAAAGGCTGACCACAGGAATCAGTTGTTTATTTTTTTCCTTTTCTCCCAATTGACTGAATCCCTTCCTTTTTTGTGTGGTAGAAAGAGACTTTGACACTTACAGGGCAGTGCGTTTCCCTCTGCCCACTAAAGCCACGTGGTGTTTCCATTCCTCCATCTTCTTCATCCGCCTCATCAGAAAAGCCACTTGTCTATAGCACGGCCTCCAACCAGGTGGTTTCTCTCCTGGTCCCATCCCTTCCCTTCTCCACATAAGGTCATGCCCCCCAAAACCCAAGAAACAGCTGGAGAAAGCTGCAGGCTGGGGCACAGGTGTTATGCACCAGAGGCATGGACATGCACTTGAACTGGGAGAGCCAGCTCTTCTCTCCGTGCTCAGGAGGAAGGCATCTTCTCATACCCATGTTTCAGCCCCATCTGCCAGGGGAGGGACGGAAGGAGTGGAGTTCCACTTTCTTGGGGGGGGGCAGGGGACATGGCAGAGGTTGTGGGATAGAAATATGTGCATGTTTCCTGACTGAAAGAGCAATTATTCAACTGGAGAGTATAAGAATTTTAATTTCTTGCATGCTGCTGACACAAATTAAGAGTGCTTTGTCTGCCTTGCTGCACGGTATCCATAGCCACTTATCACCCAAAGTGTGTATTATGTACGGACTGGTGTGAGTTTGACTCTTTAAGGGTTGTAAGCAGATAACTAAACTTCAATGTGTAATTTTTCCATTCCACGTTCACAAAATGTTTGGCCTCGACACAGAAAGCCACATGTCTGAATCATCTTTTAAGTTCGGCTATTAATTTGCACCTGGTTCCAATGTTCTTGCCCTCATCCAAAAGAACTAATGAATCCTTGTTTTCTGTTTCATTTTAAGAATGGATTGTTTGGGAATGCTAACTTTGCTTTGGGTTTTCTACCTTTTTTTTTTTTTAATGCAGCTTTGAAATATTCAGTTATTTGCCATTACTCACCCCACCCCACCCCCATGCTTGAAATTTGATGTTTCTGGTGTTCCATAATCTCTTCTTATGCGTTTGGTTTTGGTTGTTGCGCGGTAGTGTTTTGTAAGTTGGAGTTTTGTTTCTCTCCTCAAACCACCAGTTCTTTGTTCTACTGGTCCATTCTCACCTTCATGTTTTCTCATCCTCCCTTTCCTCCCCCCCGGTATAGATCAAAGTGGTCAAAGCATTCCATAGTTCCCTCCACGAAAGCATTCAGAAACCCAAGAACCAAAACTCCATCCACAACTTCATGACCCACCCTGAATTCGCCATAGATGAGGAGGTGCCACGAACACCACTCCTGGATGAGCATGAGGAGGAAAATCTTGACACTCCTAAGGCTGGGACTGGGGTGCTCCTGTTGGATGGTGAGGTCACGCCATACGCCAACAAAAACAACAATGCGGTGGACTGCAGCCAAGTGCAAATTGTTGCCTCCCGTTCAGAGAGCCCTCTGCACAGCCTGGAGACATCTGTTTGAACTTCATTCTCTGACTCCCATCCCGCTTTCCCCATGTCCTTTTTCATCTGTCCCATCAGTAAGGTGACGATGGGACTTTTCACTGTCATGTCAGCTGCTCCCAAGTACGTGTGAACCCCCACCTGACCATGAAGAGGCAAGAGCACAGACCTACGAGGATGTCGACTTAAACTTGAGCTGGGGTTTGTAGCAGGACCCAGTCAAACCCCAGGCAGGTAATGAATGGTAGGATCTACTCCTCGGGTGTATCAGTTGTCATTTTTAAAGAAATGATGACAATCCTCTTGGCATCTACCCCAACCCAGACTCTCCTCAGTGTACATACGTGTGTCACCATCTCCTGACCTCTGAATTTTACCCTATGAGTCTGTGCCATTTATAAGCTAAGTCGAGGGTTCCAAGAGACGAATGTCCCCAAATGCAATGTGTTGAGGTAGGAATGGAATGTATAGAATCAGCCTATAGAGTGATTGTTTTTAAAATGACTTCCCCATTTTCAAAACTTACACCTAAAGCCCTCTAGCTCTTTCTGCCCTTCTAGTCAAACCTCCCTAAGGTTCTTTTGGTCTTTTGTGACCGCTGTCTCCCTTACCTTCACTCTTTCTTGTTCTTTTTTCTTTTTTCTTTTTTTTTTTTTAAGTTGTGATGACTAAGAAAGTGGAATGGACATGGCTCAATTGAGTCAACTTTGGCCATTCCCCCTTCTGGCCCCAATGGAATCCTTGGCTTAGTCCTAGAGGCAGATAGGTTTCTTAGCTAATGGGATCCTCTTGAAGCAATTGAGAGCTGGTAAGAATGTATTTCTGTTGTTGCCAGGTTACCTTCCCCTTCTGAACTGCCATCTTGTCAGGTGTGTGTCCTTTCTAAGTGCCAGGGAGATCAGCTTTGACCGTGAAGCTCGCATATGTTTGTTAAATAGTTTTTCCCATAAGCCTGAGCTTTCTCCTATTCCAAAAGTGGTGGCAAAAGAAGGGATTGAGAATGGCCCTGCCTCCTAACTGGACTGGGGTATGGAGGACCAGCAGCTGGCAGGTGCACGACGAGACAGACCATCAAAGCCAACTCTTGTACCATCTTCCCTGGGTTGACCACTCCTGCTTTCAAAGCCTTCCGCCACAGCGCTTCTAGGACAGGACCCGCTTGTTGCGGGAGTGCGTACTGAGAAGACTTGGGAGACGCAGAAGGGCCATTCTAGCAGGTTCTGAGAAACCAGACACCTTGAGCTTAGGCGCCCAAGTACCAGCTTTGACGTACCCCTCAGCTTTCTCATCCTGCTCTGCCTGGCCCCTAACTCGTCTGGTCTCTCAACAGGCCCCAACCTTTCTCGCATATTCCACATTTGAAAAAACCCATCCCAAAGTGGGGTCCAGTGACATTTTGCTGACTTAAAGGAGCAAAAGACCCACCCTGGAAAGTTCTCCTTCCTCTCTTCCTTTGCTCCCACGCGCCCCCCTCGAGGCCCTCTCCAGAACGTGTTCAACCGCTGCACACGAAGCCCTGTGCCTTCCTTCCCTGAACGCTGCCCAAAGCATTCCCCCTCCCACCTGCCTCTCAGGACGTAGGGACCTCACTAGGAGATTTTTTTTAAGTGTTCCTTAAGGGGACAAGGTGGAGCCACGTCTGCAGGAGCTCCATTTTTATCCCTGCTGGTGTTGACATAAGCTCTTCTGTGCAGGGGCTCGTTAACTCACGTCTACCAATTCCCATGAAAGAAATGAAGCCCGTGCCCCTGTCTCAAGAGTGATGGCGGTGTGGGGCGGGGCTTGAGGCTCTTCTGAGCTGCCACACTTCCACCTGTGAGCGTGAGGTGGCCGGAACCTATGCTCTCCGGCCTTCTCTTCGGGACCCCTCCTCCCTCCCCCCTTCCTCCTGAGCTGTCCTGAGGTAGGAAGAGCAAAGACCCAACACCCCCACCACTTCCCCACTGTTGCGCAACCCGCCAGATTTGACTTGGGTTTTGTAAAGGTCACGTGCTTCAGCAATCTTTTCTCTGTCTTAAATCCTCATGTGGGAATAAAACAGCTCACCCAAGGTGTTAGGTGTGCACATATATATTTATTAAGTACATTGGAAGATTTCGTTCTGTCAAGTCTTTTATTACCTCAGATCAGTTTAAAAAACAAGCCAGTAACAAACTTCGGAGGCCATTGCACCATTCCTGTTCCCAAAAGACTCTCGTGGTGCCAGACAGGTTACTCTTGAGGGCTTGTGTCTACTTGTTTAAAGTCAATGGCTTTTGTGTGTCTTTTAGTTTCCATGGTAGGAGAGAAAATAGAGAATATTATGCAAAAAATATATAGTTTTCTTTAGCTCAGAAACAGATATTTTTGAGTCAGCCATATGTATTTTGTTTAAAGGATTTGAAATAAAGTGCTGTCGTGTTACCCTGTGGAAGGAGCATATAACCAGCTGTTGGACGTGACAGGCGACTTAGCGTATTTGTGACTGGTTGTAAAACCAATGCACCGTACTTCCTTTCTCCAAACAGCCATCTTTATACTTAGGGAAAAAAAAAAATGTGTTGGGTTCTAGACTTTTTTAATATAAATTTTGTTGATATGGAATTGAGTAAGTTTAAGTGTTTATGTGCATATGTTTTTTATATAAGTTTTTTTCTATTCAGTTTTAGTGATCCAACTGGCAGTGAGTAAATATGGCGTAAGGTAATAAAGCTTTCCCCCCATACGGTGCTTTCGATCTGAAAAGGGTCTGATGGGGAGAAGGGGAAATAATTCTCCTAGAGAAACCTAGGAAAGTGGGCAGTGGCCTGTGGATGGGAAGGAAAGCAGCCAGTGAGAAAGGAGTGTGCGTCGCCCATGGAGATGGGTGCCAGGCCTTTTAGTAACTAGTGTTCAGGGTCAGGGGCCTTGGCTGGATGTTGTTTTTTGATGAGTAGCTGGTAGAGTAGTACCCAAGGCATGAATATCTCTCGGGCTGCAAGGATACTCTGATTGGGGCTTTGCATATTTTATGGTTCTTTCACCCAAGTTTTATGGGTTCTTCACCCTGGGAGTTTTCCATTAGTGAGTTTTTGTGCAAAGCTCTGATTTGGGACTTCCCCTCTCCTAGAAAGGTTGCGTGCGATATATGAGTTGGGGGAGAGAGTTCTAAGTGGAAGTCACAAAGGCCGGTCCTAACCCGGGGTGACCGCCTTGGGGCTAGGTCCTTCTCAGAGGTGCCCTCTGCCCTCTGAAATAATGACTCCCCCATCCCTAAAGGTGTCAGAGAGACCACCTCACAATGCTTCTGACACTTGTGGGTTCTGTAGGGTCTGGGTTTCTTCTTCCACTTGAGCTTCAGAGGGGAGAGTTCGCACAGTTCTATCTGAGCGATTACCTCACTGCCGAAAACCGAAAACCTGGCGGGGGTAGGGGCAAGTCCGCATGCAACCTCGAAATGCCTCACCTCCTTTCTCTCCTGCTTTCTTTGCCTCACGATCAATCGAAGCAGCCCGTGATACCATCCCAAAGTGCACACTTCCTCACTCTCCATATCTAGGGACCACCTACAGCAGTGGTGGGGACAAGGCACTTGTAAATGCCTGCTATTCTGAAGCCATTCTAGCCTTTTCCTCAGAATAGACCAGATGCCCTTCCACGTAGCTCAGTGCCAGTGCTTTGCCTCCCAAGCCCTGCTGTCAGGCCTGCTGTCCCCTTTCCTCTTGCTGAAGAGAGACGGAGGCAAGTGAGCTCCCCGTGACCGAACTGGCCTTTGGTTCGTGTTTGCTCCCCATCTGTATATAGGCCATATGTGAATATGCCGTATCTATATGTGCCAACAGATCTATCTACGTTGTCCTTTTCAAAATCAGCACGCAGGTAGGAATTTGGAGTTTCTTTCTTTCTTTCTTTCTTTCTTTCTTTCTTTCTTTTTTTTCAGTAACTAGTATAACAAGCACTGGTATTTTTGTATAAAAAAGAAAAACAAAACAAAAGATTGACTGTTGTGGTCTGCATGACATAAACAAACATGGTGATATCCAAGCAATGTGTATACCCCAGTGTGTGTTGCCATAATTTGCAGTTCGGCTTAACGGTGCACCCAATCTGTATTTGCATTCTGATATTATTTAAGCTCTCTGTACAATGTTTTGCATGTATTTATATGGTTCGTAGGGAAAAAAAATGCTGTAAACTGGCAAATCTGAAATTCAAATATGTTGTCCACTGAGACGGGAAGAAGAGGAGTTTGAAAAGATGGGGAAAAAAGGGATAATTTTTTTTTTTTTGGAACCAATAAAGCTTGTTGCTGATGAGCAGAAACCAGTACTGCCGTGCACTGAGAATAAAAACCCATGCCCACTAGTACCTGTGCTGTCCTCAATGTGTCTCCACTTGTGGGTCATGTCACTGAGGCTCTGCTGGAGTTTGAGGAGGGACCCGCCGCAGCCGCATCGAGACCCCCGTCCGTGCCAGCCCGGAACTCAGCTTGTCACTGGCCCCTGCCACACTTCTCTGCCAACACGGCCCTCTGGCCACTCGCGGCCCCGCTTGCCAGGTCCACGCGCTGGTGGGACAAGCTTTGCTCGGCTCGCTTCGGGCGGAACCCACAGTCGGGGCACAGTGAAGCCGGAGCTTTTGAGAAAGGATGAACTGGGAAGGGTGAGAGTCAGAGTGGCAGTCCTTTCTTATGCTCTTTGCCTTTTTTTTTTTTTTTTTAATGAAATACATTCTGGGAAAAGTTCATTCCCCTGATATTAGCACCTTTTTTTCCTACCTTGCCTCTGGGGCTCTCCCCTTCTCCTTTCTCCAAGTTTTTGTTCTGTTCCGTTCTGTTAATTGTCCCATTCACCAAGTCTCTGGCAGGACCTATGAGGCCCCCAGTTTCGGGCCAAAACCACTTCCTGGCAGGTCACTTGGGTTCTGAGCTTTTGTATCTCAGAACTCAGAACTCCCTGCCCCTTTCATCCCGGCGCTCGATCAAGTTCCCTGCTCTCTCTGAACACATCAAAAGGAGGAAAGGACTTTGTGGGCTCCCCCTGGTCTGTTAGGAAAAGTATGCTGGAGAAGGACAGCCCAGACTCTGCCGGCTGTTTGAACAGGCTGCTTCTGAAGGTGGAGTCAGCCCTGGAGGAAAAAGCTTCTGGAGTATGAAGTCTCATCCCCACGTCTCCTGCCCGCCCCAGCTCACGCTCCATGGGCACAGGCTCACTGCCTACTTCATTTCTTTAAAACTTGGGCTAGGGCAGAAAAAATGAATAATTCAGAACAGGGGGCTAAGTCTTGTTTGATAACAGAAGTCATTTGCAAAACAGAACTAGTCTTTTTCCCATTATAGGTTCCCTCCCAATTACCCTTGCTAGAATGGGATGCAAAGCACACAGGTGTGCGCACACAGACACACACACACACACACACACAGAGCTAGAGTCCTTTCTAAAGTTTGGCCCTGAATCGCCCCTTACTCTCGCCTTGTCTTGGTTGGACCTAAGATCTGTGCCTCTCTATGAGGCCAAATTGGATCTTAAGCATCTACACCGCCTAACTCCAGTGTGCAGTAAGGCGTGGAGGATGAGCTTCAGAGTAGCTCTCTGACTGCGACCCATGGATCCTCAGGTATTGTTTTAATGGCGTCTAAAACCAGCTCAGCTCCTTGGCCTGAGT